TTTTTTTTTCAAGGAAAGAAAAGTCGAATAAAAAAGAGTCAGTAAAACTGTGAAAACTATATTCTTTTGTAAACCGAACATGGTCGCCCGTTGAAAAACCTGAAACTGGTTTGGCAGTTAATTTCTCTACTGGGTTGAAAGGCCCAGGAAATGTTGTTATTGCTGAAGAATGGAACCCAATGTTCCCTTCACCGCCTATATTTCAAACATATAGCTCGGTAATTTAATCTTCTGTGATTAAGGTATTTTGCTCTCCCAGATAAAATGTAATCTGCATCTAAATTTTTTACAAGCTCAGCGCTAAAAACAGGGATTTACTAAATCTAGATTAGAACTTACAATGAAATAACTTTTATTTGATCTGCGGATGAAAATGAAGGAAACTGATCCTCACCGGTGAAAGACAACTTTAGCGATGCATAAAAAAAGCCTACCAGGATCATTTCATCCACAGGAAAAATGAGATTTATTTCATGTCTTTTAGTGTAAATTGTTATAAAGTTTTGTACGGAACTTAATACATTACAATTTTCGTCGCTCTCAGCGTGAGGCTAGTTGCCCCCATCTTAATCGAAAGACAAAAATTAAACGTTTCGCTTTAACCATTTTTACTTGATATAAGTTGTTATCATGCGTGATTCTGTATATGAAAGAATAAATCAAAGACATTCTCTGTAGCCCCTATATGGTAACAGAACTGAGTGGAGTCCAATTCGGCCCGTAATCATCGGACGAACGCGAAGCGGGAGTCTAGTCTGCTAATCGTTCTTTTGGTGACAGGACAGAATTGGACGACGTGAACTCCTGTTGCCAATTAATCTAAACTATGACAAAATTTGAGAGAGAAACTAGACATCGGTTATACGTTTCCATGAAATAACAACAGTTAACTCCGCAAAATGGGCGACAGTAGCGCGCGCGCATGACGCGTATTGTCCACTTACACAGGCATGAAGTGTCAACTGTCCTATGACACTAACCGATGACAAGGAGGACGAGTACATTGTCTTATTAGTGCTCAAATCGGGCTGGTGATGACCTATTACGCTCGAGAATTTCGTTATAGTTTTGATAACTGTTAGAACATTACTCGGACGACACTGGTTAAATTTTACCCCCATAGGGAATAAATTATTTTATGCAGCTAGCTACGCCTCATAATGTTTACTACTAAGGGTCAGTTTACATACGGGATTCTTAGTGATGAGTACTCAAGTCCATACAGGCCAAGTTTCAGGCCTCTTTTTCTCAGCTTTAGTGCTAAAACGTTTTTCCCTCTCTCTTTCTTCTCGAGGCAGCTCATTTATTTTGGGTATGGTGTAGGTTTTCTCTCACCTTTGCTGGAAATAAATAACAACTCTAGATAATGCAATTCAGTTTGGTTGTTAGCAAATGAACGGTCGCGATTGTAGAAAAAATAACGGAAAATCTTGATCTCATTTTTGCAACTTATTCCCAGCATGATTCCACCAAAGTGCTGTGAACTTCTGCCGCCGGAGTAGAAACCATCTACTTTACCTCCTAAAACGAAAATGAAAAAATAATAGGAGGGATATATCCAATGACTCTCTCTTCTTTTCAACATAGATTGACTGAAAAGGGGTACAGGATTTAGCTGAATTTCCATGGTTTAAGGTGTGCTATAAAGCTTTTACCTAATTAAAGCAATCTAAAACAAAGTGTTTGAGAAGTAAGCTAACATGATAACGATTAGGAATAAAAGTGGGACTGAAATACAACTGTATGTTGTCATAATAAGTCTACTCAGCTGAATTACTAATATTAGCAATCTGTGTGCCTTGTCTGTCGCTTCCCCGCTGACCATGAATTGTTGTGCTCGTACTAGCATCACATCCTTCAGGTCTGAAAGTGACCGTTTCTATCCCTCCTCCGGCTCCTGCTATTATAAAAGGCGCTTTGTCAGTTTCTCTCACTATGAAGGTGCCTCCGCCTCCTCCTGCTGAATTACAGACGTTGTTGATTCCACCTCCATGACCTACAAGAATGTGGATGATCTCACTTTTAGTTAAGGAGAAATTACCGATCCTTCTTACACCTCTCCCTCGGTATTCACCATTGTTACTGGATAATCCCTACCCTCCTGCTGCTCCTATTGCTTCTAGTCTCTTGTCATAAGTGTACGGCACAATCCGAGTTGGATTCTGCTGGACTGTGTAACTTGTCCGTCGTGATCCTGACCTGACTATCGAAGTGACAACTCAGCAGTGAGACGTCAATTTCTGATATGATGCTGCGAGGACACGTTTTTAAGACGATCACTGGAGCGGCATATGTTGATGCGTGTTTAAGAGAATGTCATCGTGACATGACATGCCAAAGCATCAACTACGTCCTTACTCAAGACAAGTTTGAGCTGAGTAACCGCACCAAAGAAGCCATACCTGAAGATTTTGTACTCAACTCTGAGATATATTACTTCAGACGACGTATCAACAGAGGTGAGTCCTCTGAAAGCGAAACTATTTACATACAGGTTAAAGGGGATAGCTGGAGGAGGGAGTATTACAAGATAGCTCGGTATTTTCAACTGAGTTATTAACGTAAATTGGCTTTAGATGCTTTTTATGGTGGTAAACTTGCCTTATTAACCCCTCAGTTAATAATATCAAATTATTTACATGGTGAACTGGATGGAAATGATGCTGCGCTATTTTCTTACCTTCCAGTTCAACTTGGTTCAATTAAAAAGCTGCCAGCTGATTCGTGCAAAGAGATCAACGCGAGTGAATGAGGACAAGAGGTCAGTAGCAAATACTAGCTGAGTCTGCAGCCGCGCGCCTTATATTTGAAGAAAGCAAATACTGCCATGTAACGCCACTTCTGAAATCATTGCACTGGTTTCCCGTCAGATACAGAATAATATTTAGAGTACTTTTAATTACTTTTAAAGCTAACCACGGTCTGGCGCCCGTCTATATTAACGAATTAATCTCAATTAGAGGTGTATCATCAAGGAGATACTCGGGCGTCCTGGGTCCAGCAACTGATATCGATTCGTTTAAACTGATGCATTCGAGTATTAAGCCTCTTCATCGCTAGATCACAAGTAACGCCAACTGACAGTCATGCTCATTGGTCCAGCAAGTTTAATTATGAGCATCCGGCAATCTCAGGCGAAGCGGACTGGAGGGAGGGGGTGGGGCTAGGGTTAGCACGAGGGAGAGGTGGGATGGGGAAGGAGGCCAAGTGTGTCATTCATTTGTCCGATGCAAGCTATATTATATGTTTAAGTCGTGATCAAGTAAAATAGTGATTGATAGCTATAGAAGCGGCCATAGAATAGAAAAATCAAGACATCAGTTTCGATGCCTCATTAGCGCCACTCGTGAAAATAAAGGATAAAGTTGTAGGCAGAATTTCCGTGCACCAAAAATGAGAAAAATGCTGTTGAAATACTTTGCGTGATGTAACAAAGCGGAAGTATATCTGAGATCACGTATGAATGGATGTACACAAGCTTCTGCCAGAAAGGAAGTTTTCAAATGGAGATGGTAGAAATCCTTTCCACTCTTGCTTGAGAAACATTTTAAAGCGCTACAGCTAACTCGTACATAAACTAATACTTTCGACTTTGGAAAGCTTCAAAAAGAATATATCTGGTATCTGGTACATGAACTCTCTCGAACTTTCAAGTTTTGACTCTTTAGTCATTCAACACACCAGATGTTCATGAAATGATAGTCTTAACTCCCGAATACCAAATTAAATGTGAGCATGAAAAACAAAACATGTCGTCAAGTCAGTTTATAAAAACACTGAGAAAATATCGGGACCTAAACGATCCGTTAAGATCACCGATCACTTCACGTGCACCTCCGCCAATGCAATCTATTGCATAACTTGCACTTATTGCAAAAAGATTTACATCGGTGAAACAGGCAGAAGACTAAGACAGGCTAAGAACGCTCGAAACGTCAGCTTTTATAATCGTAACGGTGGCCAATTTACCATTTCAACTTTGTTGATATATTCAAATTATTTCGTTACCCCCACCGACGCAGCCCCAAACAGTTTCTTTAGAAACTATCAGTCTTTATAAAAATATGGTATCGTTTTGACTTCAACCTAGAATACAAAAGACGCAGCTTATACAAGATGAACCCAGGTCGGGAGTTGATAGTTGAACCTTGCTGGGAGAAGTTACATAACGATAATAATTATGGTTAAAGCAATTATAATGATGATGATAGTAACTTGAAATAGTGTAAAAACGACAAAATTTCTACAGCAGCTCTCTGTTTTTTATTAATTTTTCGTCGTTTTAATCCCTGTTTTAGTAAATTTGTTTGCGCATTAAGCCAAAAGGAGAGACCAATCAGTCGACAGTTCCATGCCAAAAGGGCGTCAGAGGGACTTTATAAACAGGAAGATTGAGAAAACTCCCGGTTACTAATGAATCATGTTGAGAAGTATTTAAATAAAAATAAGAATAATAGTAATAAACAGAAAGATTGAGTTCAACTTTTGGTTAATAATTAATCACGATTAAACATATTTGAATACTCGCCGTAAAACTTCGTTTTTCTTCAGACTCTGAAGATGAAGCGTCGTCGCTTCCCGATGCTTTCTTTCCTATTTCTTTTTTTTCTATCTGGAGGCTGATTTTATGCCCTTACATTTGCAAACCATGGTGAGTTTACTTTAACACTCTATAGTGTGGGTTAGATGAAGGATTATATTAATTTTTCATGGCAGTTTTAATGTAACATGTTTTAAACTCTCTCGGTTGTTTCTTTGGTTTCTTTTGGTGGGAGATGCGTTGCACCTCGGTCATTGCTTTCGATTTCAGATCGAAAGCTCTGCCTTTCGCTATCCAAAAGTTAAAATAGTGGGTGGCAAATCGATCTAACTTCAGTTGGTTCTTGTGTTATAATTTTTTTTTCATGCATGTACAGAAAAGTTGAAGACTTGCAGCTTTCAAATCAATTCTTAAGGGCAATATGTTTCACGCAATGTGGGAGGATGCCCCAACTTAGCTAGGAAAGCTAACTGAACACTTTGAATATCCTAGTTCAGCTCATCAATGGGCTCAGAACCAAATTCTAACGTGTACATTTAACGTGAGCTTAAGTAAGACGAAATTGAATTTTTCTCCGGCAATTATTGCTCATTGAAATTTGAAATAAAGCGAATCACGATTCTAAGAGAAGTTAACTCCTTTTGAAACTTTCTACACAAGTTCTAATAACAACGGGCAGGGACGCCAACACGCGGCAGTTTAAATGTTGAGAAGAATTCTTCTGATCAATTCCATCATGAAACAATCAATAAAAAGACACTAAAAAATCAATTTTGGTGGTTATTATCGACAATCCCAAAGTTTGTCTGTGGTCAGATCGGGCTCGCAGATAAATACGGATTAATAATTGATCAGAGTGAGTAAGAGACAGTCTCATATGTGTAATATATGAAAACGAAAAATAATAACAGAACTTAAAGTTCCGTAAATCCTATTTGAAGCAACAGTTTTTTAATGTTAGTCTAAGCAATGGGTATATAAGTCGTTTATTTGAAGTACATGAGTTTCACGAGTTTTGACTCAGACTCGGAGTTCAGGATCTAGTATTAAAATAAAAAAGTTTTCCCTGAATCATATTTTAAAAATAAAGAAGGGAATCTTTTGAAAATGAGGCAAGGGTTTAATCCATATAAAATTCCAACTAGAGATAAAGCAAAGATGCGTCTATTGTAAGAATTCGTTTTGCTATATTTTTGACCAAAAAAGGTTACAGAGAATTAAAGTGTCCTAAAAATAGCTTTCCTTGCCTAGGTTTATTAGAAAAGGCAGCTTGATTGAACAAAACAGCATTGACAATTTTAATGTCGAAGCAAAGGAAAAAAAACAAGTCGTCGACAGAAGGGTTCTCATCAAGAGCAATAGAATTCAAGTAAACTGAATGCCACCCAAAACCGTTGGGAAGCATTAGATATGAACATTCATCTCGACAACAGGAATCTTACAAGTAGAAATAGTCAAGTAGAAAATTAAAATTTTCTACTTGACTATTGTATTTCACGGAGGGAGGTAACAACAAGTCAAGTATCGCTATTAATTCTGTAAAGAATACCAAGTGAAAAACACATCGATTATTGATGCTTTTTGATTAGTTTTAAGATGTGACCTATACATGTTTCAATTCCTAAACAATGCGTGGAAGATGGATTTCGCTGTTTCTGCTGTCTCTAACAGTAATATAATTTACAAAGACATAACTGGAGCCATCAAGACAATTGAGGGTCAACGAAAAACAGTTTTGTTCTCCTTTTTCTCGTTTGCAACTTTTGAAGCACAGTTACCTTATGCATTAGCAATCTAACTAATAACTTCATTGATAAAAGCAGCGAAAAAAGCAACGCATTTTTTTAAAAAAGAAAGCTGGTTTAGGGAAACAAGGAATGCAAATCGAATATTTTATCATTATTTCTCTCGTAGACTTTGAGTAAAATAGAGGTTTAGAGAAATGGATCATTAATGCGAGTACTTAAAATGCAGTTTCGATCAACTAGCCTGAATGGGAGAGATTTTAAAATGATTCATAACAAAATAAAAACTGCCAGAAGTCAGTAACAAAACAAAAAGAAATTTCAATAATCGATCTACAATCTATAATCTTCGTGAAACAAACGACTAAACATTCATTTAGGTTATTTTTTATCTTTGCAACGTAATCTAGTAAAATGAGATGTTACAACCTGCCTCGGTAGTTCGCAAACCCAAGGGGTTGCCAGCTTTTAAATGATCTCGTCCCATTCCTATTAATCCATTGCTTTTCGAAAATGTATAAAAGCTAAAAAAATAAATTGAAAAAACGCAGATATGCTGACCTACGCCGAACCAAAGGTTGACGATTCAGTACAAGAGCAAATTTTTTGGCAGATAGCATGGAATCCGAATGGGAATTCTCGGCTGATCCGGTTGATATCCATTGAATTTTTAAAATCCACGATTCCTTAACTTTACTCTGTTGCAGTCGCATGTTTTCGGAATTTCTTTTTTCGCCAACTTACACGAGCCGATCCGTAAACCAATCAAACTCTCTCTACTCCTGTCTAATATACAGATAGCTGTCGGAGACTCAAGTTTCTGGAAGTCAGAGATGGATATGCGTTGGTGGGCCATGCCTTTAAAACCATTTCATTGCCAGTCGGAATGCATATGTATAGTCACTGTAAAAATTGGTGTACTATGGAAGACAGGTGTAAATCGATCAACATGGGGCCCTCAGGAGAAAAAGATAAATTTTTATGTCAATTGAGTGACTCGGACGACCTACAACACCCAAATGATCTGAAACCGATGGCAGGCTTTATATATAGGAGTACGGAAGTAAGTATTATGTTTTGTGTGTGTGTGTGTGTGTGTGTGTGTGTGTGTGTGTGTGTGTGTGTGTGTGTGTGTGTGTGTGCGTGCGTGTGTGTGTGTACCGTTTAAAATACTTTCCTCACTCTTCTGTCAGTCTTCGGAAACTCAGATGAGGCAATATAATTTCAAAACTTTTCAAAATGAAGTCTGAAAACACCTGAATCGGCCAACAAAGAAAGGTAAATAAATAAATTAAAACAAAGTTTTCATATTACTTGCGCTCTGACTGGCTGAGACAGTGTGCTTTATCAGGGTATCAAGAAGGGAGAAGGTCTCGTTTCTCCCGCTTTACTTCTTTCGTCCTCTAGCCGCTTCCTGCGACTTTACAACACAAGAGAGAACAGTCGCGAATTCTTTATTTGATAAGCGAAAAAACAAAAATTCCAAGTATGCCCCGTATGGATCAAAATTACAAATGGCTTGCATGAATAGCATCTCCGTTATTGTATGAAAAATAAGGCTGAACATCTTTCCCCATCAGAACAAGTGCTGCTTCAACATCTGCTACAACAATGCAACTTGCCTGGTTGGATTTACAAACAAGGGATACAAGTGTGTGTGTCCACCTGGTTACACGGGAGAACAATGTGAAAAAAACAAGAGTTAGTTTGCTACTATTATGCTTCTCTTTTGCATCCATTTTTCTCTGATCTCTGTTACCTACAAAAAGCCTTTATCATTTATTATTTTTTTTCTAAGTTCACTATCAACGGAAAGAATTTGTTTCTACAGATGTAGACGAGTGTACCACCAAAACTAACAAATGTGACGTCAATGCCGAGTGCAACAATACCGAAGGTTCTTTCAACTGCAGCTGCAAGGCTGGGTTTGATGGCGATGGCAAAAGCTGCAAAGGTAACTATGAAATCTGTTCATCTAAATTGTTCCATGCATCGAAATCAGTAGATCCATAATCCTAGGTCTTTTCTTTATATATATTTGCTAAAAACTTGAAGAGTGTATCAACAACATGAACGATTTTCACACCAAAGCTGTGTATAGTAATTTAGAGGGATAAGTCGGCTGTAACAGTGTCGTTTATCGCGCTTTGCATCCGTCAAAGTGTGCATTTCATCACGCGTCTCTTGTCTCGAGTGCTACTTGAGTCCGGTATGAACTTGAATGATTTACGAGTCGTGGACGGCAAATTGTGTCCTCTTAGTTTTGGTTGCAATACTCTCTTTGTGTTTGGAGGTTAGTTAAGTTTATAATGTTTTGTTTTAGCACCATTAACTTTTTATCCTGCAATCATTGTTAATATTACATTACGTCTCGTGCCCTCTTTCTATCTAAGAAAACTCGTGTCTTTTCTTGAGGATTTGCCTAAAAGAAGCCTTCCTTGCGCTGGCTAATTAACTTTTGTTGCTCTTGAAATGATTCAATTTGTTAACAAATAAACAATTGCACTTTTTATTAAATGTTTTGCTCTCTTGTTAAGATGTAGACGAATGTGCGACCAATACCCACAAGTGTGGTGTGAATGCTCGGTGCATAAATACCGAAGGTTCCTTTCACTGCAGCTGCGAAGATGGATTTGATGGTGACGGTGAAAATTGCACCGGTGACTAGAACATCACGTTTACTCGTTACTTTTGAACATTGTTCATTGCTAGTTTATTTAATTTAAAACTAACTTCAATATTTGTTCAGATATAGATGAATGTCTCACCAATACCCACAAATGTGATGTCAACGCTGAGTGCAACAATACCGAAGGTTCTTTTAACTGCAGCTGCAAGGTTGGGTTTGATGGCGATGGCAGGATTTGCACAGGTAACATTTGTCTATCCAAGGTTTCTAAGCATCGGAATCAACAGATTCAGAAACCTCGAGCTGGTTTTTTTTAATGTTTGCCAAAACATGACGAATGCTTTGCCTGTCCTCTCAAAGCATCCCGCGTGCATCCATATCGCGATACACGCACGTACGCACAGATTCAGAAACCTCGAGCTGGTTTTTTTAATCGTCGAAGGATCGTGCTCATATACTGGTTTTTTTATGTTTTCCAAAACATGACGAATGCTTCGCCTGTCCTCTCAAAACATCCCGCGTGCATCCATAACGCGATACACGCACGCTAAGCATGAACCAATGGTCAATTTATTTTTATTTAAAACTCACTGCAGAATGTGTCCATCTCAGTATTGTCAGTATAGATCTCTGTTCAACGTTGATGATACGTGATAGTCTAGACAATGTTTGGTGAGAAAACATTAAGGTACATGAAAGTTATTAAAATGTGTGTGAGTCTAGATATAGACGAGTGTATCGTACGCACCAAAACTCAGCTACTCTTGCGAAGGCAAACCGGAGTTCAATTACAGGAAGTGGGAAAAACGTTCCACCTTTTCATTGGGAAAGTTTGGAGTTGAGGTAAAGCCATCAGGCAATATGCAGTTTGTGCAATGTTCGACTATTTTCCGGACTTCTCTCTAAGTTTTTTTCGTTCATTGTATGCGAAATTTCGGAACAAGCGAGCCTGCAAGTAGCAACAGATGAACCAAAAAAAGGTTTCTAAACATGCCAAGCGCAGTAATTGATGTTATTGACGAAAATGACTAAAGAGAAAACGAAATGGACTGTCAGAGCCCTGGAAGGATTTTACGCTCAGTTAGATTGTAAGCTAACGTTCCCTGGTAAAACTGAAACACGGATTCTTTATTATAAAACATATAAAGTAGCCTTGACTGCGCTCTGCTCTATTGTACAGCACTTAGGAAACCTTTAGAGCAGTCAAGAAGTATGGAGGAACACTCGTCTATGTCTCACTTCCATCCCCTACACTTGTTTTATGCTCTAGCCGTTTCTTGCCTGCTTTGCAACAGAACAGAGCACGGTCAAGGCTTCTTCATTTGCTTACTATACGAAAGGAGGATGAATAACATGAGGTTTGTGAGATGCTCAAACCGAGTTAAACACATTGTAGACGGAACAAGATAAGGATAAGTTAAGACATGATAAAATTTTTAATATGAGGACCTCGTTAATTTTAATCGTAACCCTGATATTTCTTTTATAGCTTAAAACACAATACTAATCAAACGTAAAAAAAAAAAAAAAAGAAATCGACCAAACAAACAAACACACGTAACATTTTCGATTGACTCTCAAAAAGAAGCAAGAGCTATTGGAAAAAAAATGATGCCAAAATCTTTGCATTTGTCTCGAAGTCTCAAAGGTGCTCCCTGAATAATTTGCAAATGTTTTCATAGTGAGAGTGTACTCTCTCTAAATTACCTGATGTAACATGGAAAGTCTGTAATGTCTTTGCAATTTGCCTTATCAGATATTGACGAATGCAGTGGTGGCATCCATATTTGTGGCCCTAATGCAAACTGCACAAATACTAACGGCTCTTATGGCTGTTCCTGCCATTTTGGCTTCACTAAAAGTGGAAAAGAATGTGTTGGTGAGGAAAATATTTACAGATTACTTTTGAACTTATTTAATTTTGCGTGTGGGAGTCACAAAGCTTCCCTGCCAGAGAGCACCACTGGTTTTTTATAGGCTGCTTCATCTACAAGTTAGCTTCATCTCCTGACTTTGTTCTTCATCTAACTCTCTGCTTTCTCTGTTCCATCCGAAGATAACTCTTCACAGAGCTGTTGATGTTCTGTAGGGTCCATCATGTACCCATTTCCATCTCTGGTGCTATACTTTTCGAGTCAGCTCTTGACGTGTGAATCTCATCATTTAGTTTACTGGTCTTTTTCGTCCATATACTTTGTATAGGCATCATGCAAGCCTGAAATACGAGGTTGATAATACAATAAATTGCTACTATCCCACGCCATATTTCCTTATGAAGGCGGTCTCGAATTTAAGTTGAACTCTATCAATTCTGACATAGTTTGATCATCCGGGACATAATGTTTGAATCAAGCTAAGCACTATCTACACTTATCTGTAATGGCAAAAAGCAGTTTTGTATCCATATTGATTTCGTATTGATACCGTAAAAATGGCGCAAACGGTAAAAGTGTTTCACTATTAACAGGAGTAGATACAAGGAAACTTTTGACCGTTAAAACTTTTTGTTCCTACAGCTTTTTACTCATTGTAAAATTATCTTAAATCAATTTTAAAACAATTTCTTTTGACTCCTTTATGGAAAGAATTTTTTCTGTGTTTAGACTTATCAAAACCAGTTTAATATCAGTCTCTTTGTTTTGCTTGAGGAGCACTGATGACAAAAGTGTTAAACCTACACGTAGAAATGATTTACAGGAAGTGTACACCATAGACAGTTGCCTTTTTATATTTCACAGATATTGATGAATGTTCAGTTGGTGTTCACAGTTGTCTCAATGGAACAGCCACATGCATAAACACTATTGGCTCTTACAACTGTTCTTGTAACCATGATTACGTAGGAGACGGAAGTACAAGTTGCAATGTGCAGTCACTCGGTCAGTTTGATTTTTTTTCTTACAAGTAATATGAAAGGATACGACTTACAATAATATTACTATTTCAGATTTTTTCGTCTGAGTCGAGTTGCTACAGGACAGTTCCTCTTCATCTTTGCATGGGGGCGGGTTACTGATTTATATGAGTGAGTCGTGAGCATTTATTCGTTTAGATATCTATGCTTTATTTTTTTAATAAAAATACAATAGATAACTTTTTATACGAAATAAGATTCAAAGTTATTCTCAACGCACATGATCGAAGGAGAAAATATCACAGTAATAGGATGATGAACAAAATGTATGATCGCCTCAGCATTCAGCCCGGAATGGCTGAGAAACTTCTTGTATTATGCATTTTACTGGTTCATTATCCTATTACTGTGACATTTTCTCCTCCAATCATGTGCGTGGAAAAGAGCTTTGAATCTTATTTCGTATAAAAAATTATTTATCATATTTTCTTTGAAAAATAAAGTATGGATATCTAAACGAATAAATACTCACGGCTCATTCTTTATATCATTAACCCGCCCCCATCTGAAAGAAGATTTTCAGCCATTCCGGACTGAATGTCTCAGCGATTAAAATACGTAAAGAGCATTACAAAAGCCATTCGTTAAATACAAGTTGGACTGTCAAAAATGGAAAGAAACAAAAAATAAATTAACACAAACAATAATGAGGTAGCGTTGGTATCAATGTTTTGACTGTTTTCTTCCCCAGAATGCCAGAATCCTGCAAGTCTTTCAAATGCTAACAGGAAAGAAACTCACTCCGGAGTTATTTCAGAATGCGACAGTTTACTCGGTCCAAATTGGTTTCGTTTCCAGGGAGCAGCCGGAAATAAAATGGCTGCCACATGTGTCCCAGTTAACCGCTGTGGAACTGGTGCCCCTGGCTGGTTGAACGGGGCTCATCCTACCATAAGCGAGGGTATAGTCACTAGGCAGGTCTGTTTTAAATGGTCAGAGGAATGCTGTCACTGGTCCATCAACATCCAAGTAAGAAATTGCAATGGATATTTTGTGTATAACATCAGCGGCACGCCTCCTGAGCATCCGTGTCACTTGCGATATTGTGGTGCTGACTAAAGTTATCAGTGAAAACAATACGATGTCCGTTTTGCTCATAGGCCGTGTTAAATAGAGTCACCACAAATATACTACTGATTTCACCCGCAAGGATTTTGTTTCCTGTTTTGAAATGAAAGTGGTATTGGTAGTCATAGTTCCTGAACTCGTACACAATTTTTTTTTTCCGAACAAATTAGGATTTAAAATTTCTTTGACGTTATTTAACCCGCTGCAAATAACGAACACGGCGTAGGGTTAGCAACGCTTGCCAACGTTTAAAGTGTATTCATGTCCGATATCAGTCTTTTCTCTTTTTTACTTGGTCTTTCTTTGTGAGTAGTCGTGTTAGAATTACTTGAGAGGTATCAATAAATTCGTATTTAGTCTCATACCACAAATAAGTCCTACGCTGTAAGTTCCCATTGCAGTCGTGATAGCCTCTCTATATCATTTGCAACTTGATGTACTTTAGTGAAAGAATGAGAAATAAAAAAAAGCTACCATATTATTGGAGAATATATTTTTTGTCTGAATAATTCAACGTAGCTGCCATTCGTAGGACCTGTCCTTTGGTTGGTAGTCACTTACCGACCGAATAAATCGTGCAGAGAAGACAAAAAATATCAAACATTGAATTTTTGAACGCAGCCATTGTGTTCCTCTACTTTACGTCCGTATTTGTGCCTGTTCTGCAGAGTATGACCTTGGCATATTTTGCGCGTTCCGTTGTCCTTTTAGGGTAAAATAGTGGGTAACTCAATGTTCTAAGAAATAACAAGCATTCTGCTCTCCCAGATACAACCACATGTAACCTTTTTAAGATCATTGTTGGTTGCCAGTCAGTCAAGAGGTACCCAGTCCCTCATTTTTCTTTCTGTGCTCGCTTAATGCAAATCAAATGCGGTAATGTACGACCGTGTCAATTTCTCCAAATAATCTCAAGGAGATGAACTTCACGGAGGTGCCCGGGATGTGACCTATTCTCTGAACTGCCATTTTGTGATTTGGGTAACATTGAACTTGCCAGCGAACTTGTAAATGATGGAAATAATTCACTAGAATGGAGCAATAATACTATTTCTGAGTTATATGCTAATTCTCGACATGAAAGCGATATCCCTTGGGAGTCGCAAGATGATTTGAACAATGCTCCGAATGATGTCCTATGTCCTGATTGCGGAAAGATATATATACAAAAGAGAGATCTTGTTGTTTCATCTAAACATCAACAGCATTCAAAATAAGTTGGAGGAACTCGCATGCTTAATAAAAGACTGTAAATCTCAACTTAGTTATAATTGTTAGCGAATCTAAAATTGACTCTTCTTACCCGAACAGCCGATTTACTATCCCTGGTTATGCGCTAATGATAGGAAGAAAGGAGGAGGAGGAATTGTAGCTTACGTATACATACATACGTACATACGTATGTATGTATACGTATGTACGTATGTATGGGGGCTTTTGAGGGCTAATTCCCACCCATCCCACCTCAGGGGAGAATATCCATAACACATTAATCTCGTGCGTGTTAAATTAACGTCATCTACCCCTAACCCGGCAGGAGACGGGGCCTACGGTTTATTCGTCCTTATCCGAGAAGACTAGAATATCTATCCTTTTCTTGATTATAGAAAGGTAGCAAATTCTCCTCACTTATTTTAAGACCATAAGTTTCGGTCCGGCCGGGGCTCGAACCCTCGACCTTCCGCACAACACAATCCAACGCTCTAACCAATTGAGCTGACCGAGAGGCGGTATCTTCGTATCTTTGTATATTCCGAATTAACATGCAAAAGAATCAAACTTGCCAAGACCTTTAGAACCATCGAGCCTATTGTATTGGATAACCTTTTCAAGACGAAAAGTATCATAGTAATTGGATTATATAGACCTCCTACAAACTTTACATTGCAATACCGTCAACAGCTGGAAGAGGAACTCAATCACATCTGCAATTGGGCTAACCTACAAAGAAATTCCACCTTAGTGCTTGGTGACTTGAATTTGGACCGTCTTAGACCAACAACTAACGAAGGTAAACTACTTTTGGATCTACAAGAAACACGAACTCGAATGCCTTATTTTTAAACCAACAAGGATACAGAAAGTGGGAGATCGGATTAGCGAGACACTTATAGACATTATTCTAACCAACGTCCCTGATGACTTTGCCAGGAGTGGTGTTTTTGACTCAGGTCTAAGCGACCACGCCCTCATATATACATTCATGAAGGAAAGGATGGCTAAAAGTAGAACAAAAGTGATCAATTTCCGCTCACGTAAAATTTTTGATAAGCGCTTATTCAAAGAAACTTTAGCTTCGGCTCCATGGCATGTTGCTGAAATTTTTGATAACGTCGATGATCAGTCTGAATTTTTTGGCCTATTGTTAAAGGACATCGTGGATGAACACATGCCCTGTAAGAGAATGCGCGTCAGAGATGGTGATGTGGCATATATGACAACCGAATGGAAGGAGGCCATCAGACGAAGGAGAAAGGCACTTAGAAGATTTCACAAAACTAAAGCTCTAGAGGACTGGGAACTACAAAAAAAGTTAAGGAATGAAGCCACACGATTTAGACATAAGTCAATCAAAGACTTCTAGTAGAAGAAGTATAAAGACCTTGGAAGTAAGCCACATGAATTCTATAAATCATTCATGCCTTTTCTTGGATTAAAAAAGATTAAAGAATCAATGGACTTAAAATTGAAGGTCAACGACTCAAAAAGTAGCAATAAGTTGGACATTGCAGAAACTATGGGCGATTATTTCTCAACCATTGCAGATAACATAGTTCCTACCAGCGAAGTTTTAGATACTAACCTGTCAAATCACCAAAGCATTCAAGCTATTGTAAACCAACGCATATCTAGGGGTGATTGCAAATCATCTCAAATTAAAGGGATAAGAGTGCCGCAGGCTCTGAAAATCCTGAAAGACACAAATCTCAAGAAAGCCTCTGGGTGGGGCAATATTCCACCCATTGTTTTTAAATTAGGCTCTTCAGAGCTTGCTGCACCGTTATGCGATCTTTATAACGATGCATCGCCAGCTGTCATTGACCAAGGAACTGGAAGAGAGGCGAGTGGGTGCCTATTTATAAAAGGGACGATCGTTTGAACGTGGTAAATTACCGTCCAGTAAGTATGCAGATCATGGCAAATAAAATTTTTGAAAAGCTTCTCGCAAATCAGATCACAGCAGAATTTAACGAGCTTTTAAGTGATGGCCTGACAGCATACAAGAGGACACAGTTGCGAAACGGCACTACTAGCATTGACAGAAAACTGGAAAAATGCTCTGGATAATGGAATGAGCGTTGGCTTGTTAAGTACTGACATGAGGAAAGCTTTTGTTTGTCTTCCTCACTCTTTGTTACTTGCTAAACTAGAGGCATATGGCTTAAAAACGAGAGCATCAAGCTAATGAAATAATATTTCATGGATCGCTACAATAGACTAAGAATTGGTGGAGTCACAAGTTCCTGGAAAAAGGTCAAGACAGGATGCCCTCAAGGGTCCTCGTTGGGGCCTCTACTGTGGAATTTATTCCAAAACGACTTGACGTTTGGTGTTCCTTCTAAAATCGGAATGTATGCTGATGACCATCAGTTTTACGAAGTTAATAAGGATATTAACACTATACAAACAAAACTACAGGATACTGCTGAAAGGGCTACAACTTGGTACCATGCAAACTTTCTCAAAGGGAACTATGATAAATAAGTAACAATGATAATGAAAGGGGGAGACTGAATGATAAACAAGTAGACTAACGTGACAGCCATTAAGTCATACAATTCTATTAAGTTATTGGGTGTAGACATTGATGATAATTCGAATTTTTCCGACCACTTAAGTAACATTTTTAAAAAAAGTAGCCAAAGGGTAGGCGTAATTAATAGATTAAGGAAGTTAATCCCAGTTAAGGCTAAATTACAACTTTTTAAGGCTGCTATCCTTCCTTATTTAACTTATTGTAGTACTTAGAGAGGGCACAGGAACGGGGCCTTAGGGCTGTTTATTGTGATAGCATATCATCATATAGCGATCTTCTTAAAAAGGCTAAGTTAACAACCTTATATAATAGAGGATTACATGATATAGCCGTGTTAACGTATAAAGTTAAAAACGATCTGTGCCCTAGTAATATTAAGAACTTGTTTGACATTAATAATAATAGATATAAATTAAGAAACAATAAGTTCATTATTCCCAGAGTAAGCACAACACGTTATGGTAAGCACTCTCTTAGGTACTTAGGTCCAGTAATCTGGTCTAAGTTAGATGGAGAAACAAGAACACTAAGAACGCTACAAGAATTTAAAAGTGCTTTACATACATTAGATATACAAAGTTTAATATCTTAGGACAATTGCAAGAACTGTATTTTAGGTAAATCTTAATATTTTATATTATCAGTATTGTATTTCTAATCTTTTAGGTAATTTTAATTACACAGGGTAGGGTAGTACATATATATAGGGTCAACTAGACGGGGCAGGATTGCATACATTATCCGTTTTATATACATTAGATTAGTTTAGTTTAGGTTTCCTTATTTAGTGGGAAACTGCTATTGATTTGACACATTAATAAAGTTTATTATTACCATTATTATTATTATTATTATTATTATTATTATTATTAGTATTACTATCATTACGGTTCGGCTCCAAGATTCCTTTAGTAAAATGTGATCAAAATGTTTTCTGGATGTTTAGGAAACGCTGCTTTTTCTTCTTTTATTTGACGTGGGTTTTCAATTCCTGACTTCTTGTGACGAATCAGCGCTACAAAGGTGGGTGCCCTCTAACACAAACAAAACCCCAAGCACAAACAATCCCTAAAAGACACGCCACAACACTAAAAAAAACGTACGCCTACAAATATTTATTATCCTAAGGAAAAACAGTGAGCAACTAACAATGGCGATTACACAATGAACTGAATTATTTATCCTAATTAGTTTACAGAAATATGATAATTTAAACTACAGTACACTAAAACTATTTACAAGAGTAAAAGCTGATAGCTTCGGAAGAAACTGTTTGGGGCTGCGTCGGTGGGAGTAACGAAATAATTTGGATATATCAACAAAGTTGAAATGGTAAATTGGCCACCGTAATGATTACAAAAGCTGACGTTTCGAGCGTTAGCCCTTCGTCGGAGCGAATAGAGGAATTGTGGGTTGTGTGTGCTTTTAAAGGCAGAAAATGGAGCTACGTTATTGGTGGGTGCATGGCAACGAGAAAAACATGAATAAATTAGTGGAATGAAAAGCGTTCATTGATCCCTGTGGGATTTAGACTGCCGGTTTGAAAGATGAGCTTTTGTTCAAGATTTTTACGGCTTTCCGTGCCACCTAAGTGCAAGGAAAGACCGCAGATTGCCATATGTTGCTTAGAATGATTAGGTAAA